AAAAATTTTATGCTTTCTATGAATTTGCAGTTACTTATTACAGATTGAAATATTATGCAAATTTATTTAATTCGAGATTTTAGGAAATAGTTTTCGTTATGGATTCCAGTTCAAAATTTTTTTTCCTTGATACTTCTTAGTGTTTACTTAATTCCTATACTTTTTGATTTTCTTAGCGTTTTACTTAATTCCTATAAGCAGATGCACAACCAGTAAAACTGAATTTCCTGAATTCTGTCAATTTTGAAGGTTAGAACTGCACCCCCCTCCTAAAAAAAACACTATCTCTTCCATGTGCAGTATTCCCCTTCTCCACACTATTCTTTTCTTTTAGAATGCTTCTCTGTTCTCATAGAGTATCATTCTAGGCAAAGGGCAGAATATATTAAAGAAAAAGCCAATATATTAATGAAACATGTTTTCTTCCCTTGTCTGTACCCCCCCCCTACACACATTAATTTTTGTCTCTCTAAAATGCTTTACCGTCGATGCGTGGTCTAATTCTAATTGATAAAAGAACTCTATTTTGTTTTAAAAAATTGAGCAGAAAAATTGTTGCTTTCAACCATAGTGATGCTAAAAAATTAAGAACTTTTAAAAACCTTGAACCAAAATTAAGTACTTTTAAGGGCCCATATTTTCCAAAATAAAAATTAAGCAGTTTTTAAGGACTTTTAAGGACCGTGGGAACCCTGTATTAAATATGTATGTAATAATAGTCGACTATAAGTCTAAACACAACAATGATAATTTTATTTTTAAAAGTAAGACAAAAATAACTGTGCATTAAATAGAAAAAAATCGGTTTATAATGAATTGTAACCAATTGTGACTTTTCCGAAAAAATTCAATTTCTATTTCGAAAAAAATTAGACATAGCAAGGTTTTGAGAAGAAACTCTTCAACTTAACTCTTCATAGGAATTCAACTTAACATTAGGTGAATATATAATGCCAAGTAAAAAATATTTTTAACATAACAAGATTTTCGAGATATCGAAAGTGTACAGTAATGAAAAAAGTATGAAAAATATGCTTCATAAAAATCCTGCGTTGAAGTTTTACCAAATACTGTAAATTGGAACTTTTCCTCAGACAGGAAATGGCTTTTACTTATGTGAATACAATTATTTCGAATTAATATTTTTGTTTCTTTTTATTCATTGAAATCCAATTACCAAAATTTTAAGAATGTAAGAATTTTTTAAATTTGAACTTTGAAAAATACAACTTTAAAATCAATATTTTAGTGACTAGTTTTAATAGAACACGTTTCAATAAATAAAATGAAAAGAAGAAATATTCAAAACTAGTGGGCTGCGCCCCCTGCTCGCTAACGCTCGCCAACCCCCGAAAATTGCTACGCAATGTTATATAGTTTGCTCCGCAAACCAAGCTCGCTTCGCTCGCTACTAACTTAGGTACATTGCAAATGCACAAAATTCTAAGAATTCAAAACAATCATTCAAATCCATATAACAACTTTTTTTTCTAAACTTTCAACTTTTTTTTCTTTTTAGTAAGTACTGAGTCCTTAAAATAAATTTGAATTCAAATAAATGACATGTAATTCGTTAAATCTATTAGAAATGTAGGGAAGAAGTTCNTTTGAAAAATACAACTTTAAAATCAATATTTTAGTGACTAGTTTTAATAGAACGCGTTTCAATAAATAAAATGAAAAGAAGAAATATTCAAAATATCAATTAGTTGCTTTAGAAATAAGGGAATTGTTGTTTGGAAATTGTTCTTAATTTAACATGGAATACCTTTTCTGTGAGAAGCGAACTCTTTATGTGCACTATTAGGAATATTAACAAGTATGCAAAGAATTGGATTATCTTTGTTCTGAATTGTAATAAGGTAAAAGTCTTATCATCAGAGTCGAAACAAAGAAATATTGCACAATATTGGATTGATCAATACAGCATCATAGGAATTCTGTTATGTCTGCATTTCTTTTCATTCTATGTCATGCTACTGATTCTGATGCTTGTCTTATAATCAAATATCCCAGTCTTTTTTTCTTCATTTTTTGTTTATCTTTTTATATGCGTTGCGCATCTATTTTTTTAGTTTTTAAAACATGACACTTTTTTAATGCGTTTAAATTTCAACAGAGAATGATTTACTTTCTACATTACTAAAACATTTACAACATTATTTTTTCTTAGGTTTCACTGTACGATGAAAAGTTCTTACTATTATTTATTAGTTGCTATTTTCATTTATTTTCTGAGATATGAATAGATGAACCATTTTATTTGTGAATAACGGTAAACTGCAGAATTTGGAATTATTTTTCTTCACGATATTTCCAAACATGTAGTTGGCTTTACTCTTGAAATGCATTATCCTTATTTGACATTGCTTTTATTTTGAAATTGAAAACAAATTATTTTTATCCGCATATCGCTGGTTCAAAACTAAAACGACACTTCTGCATTCACTTCTCATTGAAATAACATGAGAAGTGAGTGCAGAAGTGTCGTTTTAGTTTTGAACCAGCGATATTATTAATTTAATTTTTTAAGAGAAAGCATATCAAGTTTCAAAATTTACTACTGTTAATCTAAAGAATCACAAGGTTTAGCAAAATAAAACATCATTTTGATTGTGAAACAACTATAATTTTTCAGAGAGAAATTTGTTTTTGTAATGAATTATTTCTGAAATTTTTTAAGTGAATCGAAAAGTTTTTGCACACAATTATAAAATTCGTTAATCCGAAGATAATTCCTTACAAAAAGAACTTACCTAATTATTATATTTACTTATTTTCTTTTAACTATTTATTATTTCCTTAAATAATATTTAGAAATAATTTTGAATTGTGAGGCATGCAAACTTCTTACATCTTTTTAAAACATGTAATTTTATGAGGCAAAATACAAACGAAATTGGACTAGCAGCTCTTGTGAAAAAGAATTTGTATATTTGAATTAGTTTTCTTAGGAATTTTCTACTTATTCCATTCAAATTTTGTTACTTAAAATATGAAATCACATTCTTTAAAATGATGAAAATTTTGATGAAAAAATGATTAATGTACTTTATTCATAAAAATTTTTGTTTATCATCAAATAAAATAATAACAAAAAATTTAATATTTATTAAAAAATTCTTTTTCGTATAGAATTATCTTTAGATAAACGAACTTTATAATTGTTTGCAAAATTCTTTCAATTCGCTTAAAACTGGATATAGCGAAATATTTAAGAAGTAAAATTAACACCTTGGGGTTCAAACTTGAACCGTTCTCCTGAGCAAACTATTGGAACCATATTTCCGAGATTGCGGCTACTCCCAATATTTTGGGGATCAGAAATCCAATTCCGTCGAAAAAAAGCATGGTTATTCTAAGAAAATACGTTTTTGTGTCTGATTTAGTAACTTAAAATACCATATATACTAGCTAATTAGCATGTTTGAGGTCCCCCCCCCCTGTGAACCATTAAGATTGTGTCCCAGTAGGTGAAATCAGATCATTAAATCAAAAGTTATCAGTGTGAATCATTTTTTTTTCTTTTGCGCAGTGTACATAGCATTATTTAGGCAGGTTTACTAGTTGTTTTATTTTTATTTTGTTATATTTTAAGAAAACTGTTTACTATGGTAATTTCTAACTATGGGTATTTTAAACTCAATTCAACACATTGAGAATAATTTAATAATAAACTCGGAATGCAATAATGATCACCTTTAGTATTTATTATTAGAGCCTTTGTTAAAAATGGAATAAAAATATAGTGCACATTAGAGATTTCAGATACCCTTAACTTAAGCATTTTAACCCATCATTATTGACGTCGTATACTGCACTAATAAATTGAAAAGTTCTCAAACTTTTTTCTAAACGCCTTTTTTAGCACTTCCTAATTGGTTTGTAAAATATAAATTTTTTAGCTTTCGAAAACTATAATCTGCAAATTTTAGTTCTTTAGAGGTAGGGCTTTCTATGCCACAGAATAAGAGTAAAAAATTGATTGAAATCGTCTTAAGCCGGCTTATATAAAGGTCAATCGCAAAGACAATTTCTAGCAGAAAGGCAACGTATTCTTATCACACTAGACATATAAACTATTTTTTAATCATATCAACCCCACCTTTTCTCTTATTGACCTCAATAATGATTGTATAGAGTTTGAATGCTTTTTATTAATTCCCACTTTAATGATTGTTTTGAATTTTATTTTTCCGCGAAGATTGCAAACCTATATACTAAAGGGTTAGTATATATAACAAGTGCAGACGGTATTTTAAACTATGAAATCAGACACAAAAACGTACTTCCCAGAATAAACATACCTTTTTTTCGACTTATTTGGATTTCTGGCCCCAAAATATAAGGAGTAGCTGCAATTTGGGAAATATGGTAACAATAGTTTGGTCAGCAGAGCGATATAAAGATTGGAACCCTTAATGTTAAGTTTACTTTTTTCGTATTTCGCTATATCTCAAGAACTTTTTAAGCGAATTACGTACATTGAAATGCTGTAAAAAATTGTACACCTTACAATTCAAAATTTTTTCGATTGTTATTAAATAAAACAATAAAAAAATAAGAAATATTTACTAAAATTTTTATTTGCATGGAATTACCTTTGGACAAATGAATTTTATAATTGCTTATAAAAATTGTCCAATTCGCCTGTTTCCGAGATAGAGCGCAATATGCAAAAAAAAAATAATAATAATAATAATAATAATAATAATAAATAAACATTAAGTGGTCCAAACTTTGGAACGCTCTTCTGACCAAAATATTGGGACCCTATTTTCCAGAATGTTTCCCATGTTTATTCAGAGAAAGTGCGTTTTTGTGTTTGACTTCGTAACTTAAAATATCGTCTGCACTAATAACACTGGCCCGTTTTTTATTTTGAGGCACTGCACATAGCATGAAATTAATTAAAAATTAATCATGATTTCAGAAATGACAGTCGTTACTCAATAGCCATAGAGGATCAAAACAACAGTTATTCTAAATAAAACTCTTACCTTCATCTCTCGTTACTGATGAATCTGATGATTTTCGATTGTTTTCTGAATTTTCAATTGGGTTGTTCTTGTCTGTCTGTTCGGTTTTTTGTTCTTCTTTTTGAATTGCATCAGAATCAGTTTCACTACTGTGGAAGAAATTCATCATTATGACCAAACATATAGTTCACTTTATACGTAGCATTTAAATGATGCGTCATTTCGAAACAAAGTCTTTCATTTCGAAACGAAGTCAAATTTCTCAGAAGCCAATTAAAATTCTTGTCTTTTTCAGACTTCATTGCTTAAGAACGAGATAAGAATGATTTATTGCTGATAAAAACTAGAGATACCATTCAAGAAAAAATAGGCATTCTTAAATTGTTTGCTACCTGGAGAGATTATCGGAAATTTTAAGTGTCTGTCTTACTTCGTTGCTTTGACTTTTATTTTGCTATCTTCTTACCATGTTTACAATTATAGTACAGAATTTTCACATGATGGTTAAGTTTTGATTGAACAAAAAAAACCGTTTTATAAGTTTTTTAATTTTGAATTTCAGAATCCTTTTAGATTTTGTGATTAAAATGAACCGTGTGCTTACTGTAAAACAACTGGATTAATGATATCAAATCTTTTATTTGTTTTTCATCATAATTTTAGTCTTTTATGATATAAATCTCTCTCTAATTTTTGCGCAGGTCGATACTATTTTTTTAGTCAGAATATTGTTGTAAACTTTTTTTTTAAAAAATCGCGTTAATAATCACTGGCTTTGTTTTATTCATAACTTTAATAGTCTAATTCTTGTTTTGTCCAGGGTTGTTTTGCCTTGAAAAGAAAAATTGCAGTAAATGATCCAGTGATTAGTGCAAAGGTTTTAAACTCTTAGGTTATGTTCGACCAGAAACATATTTGTTGAGAAAAAACTGTAATCGCTCCTCTACGTCCGCATGTTATCAGAATGTTCTGATTGGACATTAAGTTTGAGCCCAAGAAGGCTATAAATAAAAGTAACTCTATTTCTCTGATGTTCCTTTCTATTTCTCCTGACCCAGTGTACGTTCCAGCTGTGTAACTCTCTGTGTAATGTTCTAATAAACATGTCTTTCTCCGATCCACTGATCTCTGAATTTCATTACAATAACAATATTAACAGATTACGCAATATAGGCGGTGTCAATTTCCTTATAGTGAAACAATGACTTGTGTTATCCTTCTCATCTTATAATGAAACTACAATTTACTATAAATTTTAATAAGACAATGGCTGGCGTAACGTTATGTCCTCCATTCTGGGAGAGTATTCCAAAATTTATTGCAATAGTGGTTTACAGTTCGAACATTACATAATCAACGCAACCTAATAATCATTCCTCTCCATGTCAGGGGCGGATCCAGAAATTTTTCCTGGGGAGGGTCATAGACTCAGAGATCCCCCCCCCACACAATAAATTTTTTTATAAAAAAATTTTTTTAATATTTTTTATTGAAAAAAATATTGTTTTTTTAATGCTAGTCTTCTCATTTATTTTTTTCATAATGAACAATACATAATTAATTCAAGCATTCTAAATCTTTAAATAATAAATAAAATGCGTTTTTTTAGAAACTTTGTCAATTACCATCTTTGGTCGCGCTTCAACATTATTAATGTTTACAATCAAACTATGACGAAATTCGTTTTAAACTTTTGGATTATGATTCTTGAAACAGTGAAGAAGATAATTAGATGGAAAAAAATCGATTTTTCGACCTACCTAGGTGTATATGCCCCTTTGAATAATTTTTTAAATATTTTACTTCTTTTGTGAACTATTAAAAGAATTATTATTTTTATTTTTTTCCTATTTTTGGGGGGGGTGTATGACCCCTATGACTCCCCCCCCCCCCCTGNGCCCCCCCCCCCCCCCGCTGGATCCGCCACTGCTCCGTGTGACGCAAATGCGGGTTAGTTCCATCAAAAAAAAGTTCTCCACGATGGCAAATTTTTTCCAATACTTCATTCAAAAGTTCCCTTGTCTTCTAGATTGGTTTCAAAATGACAAGACTACGGAGCTGAAAATTAGAAGTCGTAAACCCAAAAATTGGGTCTGCTGTTCAACGACGATTATATTAAAAAAAATATTTAAAAAATTTAATAAAAACTAATAATTATGGGCTGGAATAGCCTGGTTGGTAGGGCACTGGGCTCATGTCCAAGAGTTCGTAGGCTCGGTTCCCACCGGCCGAAGACTACCAAAATAGTAAATGGTGACTGTGCACGTTAAATCTGTTGAGTTTCAAAGTCCTTCATGCTCCCATAACAAATCAATACCTCTGAGAGTACTGATCCAGGAGTTTCCTTGCCTTCTGGATTGGTTCAAAATTATAAGGCTACGGAGTTGAACATTAGTAGTCGTAAACCCAAAATTGGGTTGGCTTTTCAACGACGGATATAAAATAAAATAAAATCTAATAATCATCATTGTGACCAAGCATTGAAGACGAATGCTAAAACTGCTGATTTTAGCACCAAAACATCACTTTTCTTTCTAATCACTTTTAATTTTTTCGTTTCCAACATGCTAGTTACTAGTTAGAACAACCACTCTATTCATTAAACTTTACTCCATGTAAATTTTTTTGTACATAAGGCCAAATCAATAAAAAAAAACAAATTTCATATAGTGGAGGTAGTGGAAATAAAAATTTGTTTTTACTCCGAAAGGGTTGTCATAAAATTTTCAATCAAAAAAGAAATGTATATAGCATTATAAAAAACTTATATAAATGTATATAACATAGTAATAAAAAATAAAATTATTTAAGTATAATTTTAGCTAAATGCAGTTATTTTATAGCCATGCTTCATAATGTGCATAGATTAAAATTAAAAAGAAAAACTTAACGAGTCATACATTATTTTAAAAAAATCTTCAGGAATTTTTGAAATCTAGAATAAATTAGACGTTTGACAAAACTTGTGGCTTTATTCTGTTAGAATACATAAAAGCCATGGTCAGTCTTGTTTATGCAGGCAGCCAGAAAAATTCTAATAAAACGGAAATAGTCATTCAAATAGCTCAACTTACTACAAATTCACCCGTTGTGGTTAATGTAAAAGTTAATTTCTACGTCATTTTTTCATCAGAAAATGAAAATAACGAAATACACATTTTTTTACCAATTCTACTAATTTTCATTTTAGTCAGAAATTGTTAATTAGATTACAAAACAATGCAAAAAAATGTCATAACTATAGATAATTAAAATAAATATGAAACCAATAAAATATTTAACTTACTCGCAATAATAATCTATCCATAAACAATTAAACCTATTTAAAACTCCAGATTAAATTTGCTTATAAAGATTGTTTACTTCAAAAAAAAAGTCGATAAAGAGCATAATAAACACATCCCATTTCCTTTTAGTAAAACGGCAAACTTTTCACTTTTTTAAAAACGGGAAAACGAATAAAAGCAAAAAGTTCTCACTCAATAAAATCTTGAGATTAAAAGCATTAGCATGAAACGAGAACGATTAAATTTATTTCTTCCCAAATTATCAAACAGATGAGGAAAAAAAAAAACAGGAATTTCCGGGAATTCTGCTTAGTATAAAAATGTGAAGAAAAAGAGGGAAAGAGAATAGAAAAATATTTTTATCCCATCATTTATCATCTCTTTTTAAGAACACGGGATTTTATTTGTTAAATGCACAGCGTTCGTAAAAGGATAAAAAAGAGAGAGAGAAATAAATGCCGGTCACTTACGATTGGGCTTCGGCTAAAGACTCTTTGCTGTGATAGCTCTTCGACTTTTTCCCCCTGAAAAAACATTAAGGTAATCATTTTTCACGAAATTCATTTTAAACACGAAACAAGCTTTTTCAATATATTATATTTTCTATGAGAGAATATTTCTTTTTTTTTTTCAAAAGGGATATGTTATCATGAACCTTTTTGTTTCTTTTCTATTTTAGCTAACAAATTTTTAAATAGAACATTACACGGTATCAGTTATCTTAATAGAGCTTTTATTAAGAATTATTTGCTTAAAATAATTTTTTAAATATTTTTTTTAATTGTTTAGAATTTTAATTTTTTTTAATAATTAATTGTAATGTTTCTAAAAATATATTTAAACTATTATTTTTTTTAAAAAATGTTATGTAATTTCATATGAAAAATATATAGGAAAACAATTTTTCTTATTTTAGTTAACAATTTTTTAAATAGAACACGGCATCAGTTATCTTAATAGAGCTTTTATTAAGAATTATTTGCTTAAAGTAATTTTTTCAATGAATTTTTTTTAATAGTTTAGAATTTTAATTTTTTTTTAATAATTAGCTGTAATGTTTCCAAAAATATATTTAAACTATTATTTTATTTAAAAAATGTTAGGTAATTTCATATGAAAAATAAATAGGAAAACAATTTTTCTTATTTTAGTTAACAATTTTTTAAATAGAGCATTACACGGCATCAGTTATCTTAATAGAGCTTTTATTAAGAATTATTTGCCTAAAGTCATTTTTTCAATACATTTTTTTAATAGTTTAGAATTTAAATTTTTTTTAATAATTAGTTGTAATGTTTCTAAAAATATATTTAAACTATTATTTTTTTAAGAAAAATTTTATGTAATTTCATGTGAAAAATACATAGGAAAACAAATTTTCATTGTCTTTGTGTGCTTGACTTTTTTGAATTATATTCGAAGCTGCATTTTTCACTTTTAGATAAATGTGGACTAATTGTCCTTTTGTGATAACAACAAACGGAAACAATGAAATAAAGGAAAATAAAAAATTTGAAAACTTGTTTTACATTATTTTACAATGGGCCACAAATATTGTATCAATAAATATATCGTAGAGAATCCATAACAAAAAGAATTCTGTAAGAAAAACAGTTAGCCAAACAGGATATAAAGGGGTGGTCATAATAAAGTAGCTTCTCAGTATATTATAGACTTACAGTAAGCGAAATAAATAAGTGAAAACCCAAAATAACTTTTGTTCTGATGATTGGATTTTCATGTTCTGGCTCCATCTTAACACTAGATTGCCTAAGGAAGTCATTTTGACTGCTTTTAATTTCAATTAAAAAAGAAATGATGTATATAATGACACAATTTCTTAGAATTTTATACAACATATAATTTTTTTATTGTTAATATTTACTAATAACTTGTTATATAACTATAAATAATGTAAGAAATATTAAAAATTAATTTTAAACAAATTTTTCTACACATTATTTATTTTTTTACAATCCAAACATTTTGACTGCTTTTGGGCAATATAGGTATATACTAAATTTCAGTCATTCTAGTGTTATTGGCTCGAGAGTCTAATCTTAAATATGTTAAGTAATTAGTCCAGACAATATTTTAAGTTATAAAATCAGACACTAGAACATACTTTATCTAAACAAGCATAATTTTCTACGACAGATTTCGATTCTCAATCCTCAGTCTGGAAAATAGTTTAGACAGTTTACTTTAGACAGCTTAGTTTAGAATTTTTAATGCTAATTTACCTTTCGCAATTGCTACTAGGACGAATAGAGAGAAAAAATAACAACACAATTATAAAGTTCCTTTATCTGATGATAATTCAGTGCAATAAATAATTCTTAATAATTATTTATTATTTTGTTTAATAATTGTCAAAAGAATCTTGAATTGTAAGACATACAATTCTTTTAATCATTTAAAGTTTTGTAGTTTTAAATGGTAAAATACAAAATTTGAATTAAATCAGGAAGAAAATCTCTCGATGAATTAAATTTTAAAAACATCGCGCATTAAGAATCGCATTTCTTGAGACCTATTTTGTTTCAATTTTGTAGTTTCTGATTTAAGATTACGAAATTTCAAATTATATAAAAAATTTGTCTGCCTTATAGTTCAAGACTTTTTTTTTCGATAATTATTACATAAAAAAATGAATAATTGCGGGAAAAAAAACTTTGTATTGAATTATCTTTAGAAAAAGGAATTTTATAATTAAGTTCTAATTTTTCTGTTCTCGAGATGCATCGAAATACGAAAAAATAGAAATTAGCACTTAAAGCAAAAGGGTCCAAGCTTTCGATCTCTCTCCTACCTGAGCTATTTTGATCAGATTTTCTAGATTATAGCTACCTCATATTTTTTGAAAAATAAGAATCCAAATAATTAGAATAAAAGGTATGTTTTTTCCTACCAAGTACGTCTTCTTGTCTATTTTCCTAACTTAAAATATCGCCTCCCTTAATTAATAGCATATTTAAGGATAGACCCTCAAACCATTAAGAGTAAATACAAGTTCTTAAAAATTCGATTATTAGATCAAAAGTTACTGAAGATATTCATTCTTTTATTTCACGCACTGTACACTATTCACTGAAATAACTTTAGTATGATGTATAATAAGCTGATTTTTTATCTGATGAATTTTTTTCCCCTCTGATTTCACAAAAAATTAACTCAGCAGATATTTCAATTAAATAAAAACTATGATTACGTAAAAAAATGCGAAAAAATTAAAAAATTTGTTAAAAAAAAAAATTTTTTTTTCATTTCTGGAATTTATGCAAATTGCCTAACTTATAAATGACGCTTATACTATAGAAGTACACAAGCAAGATAAGCACTGATTTCGGTCAGTTTTCTTTCAATTGATGGCAAGTTTACTGCTCGTAGCAAAAAATAAAAGCTAATTTCATGTTTATAAATAAAGTTTCAGCTTTTTTTTTTTCCTTTTCATACTTATTTTCAAAAAGTTATAGCTTTGAGAATGTTGTAGATTAATAAAATCTCTATCCCTAGATAAACAATCATTTAAATGAATACAGTTTATAAAGTAAGTTTAAAAAAGTATTATTATATTGACAATCGTATTTGTATTAGCTTTAGAAATCTGAAACTATTTTGTACAGGATGAAATAAAGTAAGTCGATATTTTCAAAATATAGCATTTAAAAAAAACTAAATATTTCCTAATTTAAGCTACAAATATTTTGATTTTAAGCCTTTTATTACATTTTATTTTTTAACCGTCGTTGAACAGTTGCCCTATGTTTTTTGGATTTACGACTACTAATGTTCAACTCCGTAGCCTTGTAATTTTGAACCCAATCCAGAAGACAAGGGAACTCCTGGGTCAAGCTTTGGGAGAAATTTGCCTTCGTGGAGGACTTTTTGAGGGAACTAATCTGTATTTGCATTACACGAAGAGGAAAATTTGTGATCTTCTTCTTAAAGTGCAAGCACCCTATTGTAGTTAGTGAATTGAGTACTCTCATCAGGAAGGTATTATTTGTAATAGAAATTAACTATCACGATTCGATCATGATTTGATCAATGATATCATGATAATTTTTTTTTTAAATTTATAAGAATTCGTACAGTATTTACTGTTAAAGAAAACTATTTTTGTATACCAGTAGGCATGTTGTTAATTTTTTAAAGAGCTTATTGTTAAGTATGTTTATATGATCTCGAATGCTTCTAAAATGAATCACTTAAAGCTTTGAGTTCATAATGCTAAATCTGTTTTAATTTGAAGGCATCAGGCGCTTGGAATCTTAATTTTTGATCACGTGTTTTTTTACGAAATCATTAGGAAAAAAATTGACAGTAACGTTTAAAGCATTTTTACCAAGATAGAAGTCACACATTTGGTCCTTTATGGGAAAATAAGAAAGTTTCATTTCAATATTTTGTTATTATCGATCAGTTATCCTAATAAACCGCAAAACTGAACAAAGCGTTTTTATCATAAAGTCTGAAAAAAAGTCTGAAAATTGGACCATGTGCTCCTTTCCAGATATGAAGAACAACTTTAAAAAGTCTCATTTCAATATTTTGTTATTATCAGAGTCATTAGCCTAATTGACTGTAAAGCTAAACAACGCGTTTTTACCAAGATACAAGTCACAACTTGATCCATGCGTTAATTGTGAATTAATAAAAATAAATAAAAGAGATTCATTTAGATATTTTTTTATTATCAGAGTCATTAGCCTAATTGACTGTAAAGCTAAACAACGCATTTTTACCAAGATACAAGTCCCAATTTGATCCATGTGTTAATTGTGAATTAATAAAAATAAATAAAAGAGATTTATTTAGATATTTTGTTATTATCAGAGTCATTAGCCTAATTGACTGTAAGGCTAAACAACGCATTTTTACCAAGATACAAGTCACAATTTGATCCATGCGTTAATTGTGAATTAATAAAAATAAATAAAAGAGATTCATTTAGATATTTTGTTATTATCAGAGTCATTAGCTTAATTGACTGTAAAGTTTTAACCAAGAGAGAAGTCACAACTTGATCCATGTGTTAATTGTGAATTTAAAAAAATAAATAAAAAAGGTTCAATTCGATATTTTGTTATTATCAGAGGTATTAGCCTAATTGACTGTAAATCTAAACAACGCGTTTTTAACAAGATAGAAGTCACAATTTGGTTCATGTGTTAATTGTGAATTAATAAAAAAAGAAGAAGAAAAGCCTCATTTAGATATTTTGTAATTATCGGGCTGATTAGTCTAAGAGTCAGTAATGCTAGCTAATACGTTTTTACCAAGGCAGACACAAAGCGGTGATTACGTGTAGATGACCAGATGCTCACCACAAGCAGCAAGTATTAAATAAGACAAACAGTGTAATAGAAATGGTTAGTAATTATAAGAGAAATCCGTTTTCCTTGATTTTTGCGTAAATGTTATCAGAACACGTGACATAAAATCTAAAAAGGTTAAGTGATTATATATTAACAAAAGCAGCTTAAAACTGTTGATTTTTTTTTTTACAGTAATCCTTAAAATTCTCTCCCGACTCAGAGGATCAAAATTCTAGAATAAAAACAATAGATCCTTGGGTTGACAATTTTCAGACTAAGCTTATTTTAAATCTTAAAGGAAAACACAGCTTGAACTGATCTTATTGCACATATTTTTCATCTTGAAGTTTCTTAAAAAGGTCAAAATAAATTTATGAATGAATCTGGAAAAAGCTTTTATTATTTGAATGAAAATTTAATTTTAAAAGCAGACATAGGATTTTATAAAAATGAATAAATTCAGAATGTAAATACACCAAGAATCATAAAGTTTAAAAATAAACTTAATTGAAAAATGATGTTTTCCCAGTATTTTTATTTCGAAAGCGGATTGTTGAATGAATAATGCTGTAAATCTTTGAAGAATTTTCTTTTATTTCATAAATATATATTTTCTATAAACTAGGAGGCTTCGCCCCCTGCTCGCTGGCTCTCGCCAACCCCCAGAACTACTTTCGCATTTCATTTCGGATTGCTTCGCAATCCAATGCTCGCTTTGCTCGCTCATTGGATACGTTCTTAACGTCTAGCTTTTGTATACTTTTTTGAATACTCAAGTTCCGAAAACTTTTCACTGTAGAAAATTCTAAACCTGTATATTTCAATATTAATTTGAAATTCCNCGTGTAAGAGAAATAGTAACGTAAACAAAACAAAGCAAAAGTTGCCACCGGTGGAAAAGAAATACAGCCAAAATTTGAGAGCCACGTAAGAGAATTATATATATTAGATTATTAAATATAATGATATTAGGAAGGATTAGTAATTAGAATTCGTTGGTATTCTAAATTTTATAATTAAACCAGTTTCTAAATTTTATAATTAAACAAGTTATAAATAAAAACAAGTTTAAAATATTCAATTTAGAATTCTGTATCATTTAAAAAATGTAAGTTTTAAAATGTCATCGCACCATTTCCGGTAGTGATTCGGCAGTTTTTGTATCCTACTTGTTTTTGAAGTTCAATTCTTAATGGGTATACTTTTTAGCTTTCATTTTTTACAAGGATTTTAAAAATACATGTTTACGGTGATAATACAAAAAGTGTTGTACATGATTTATTTTTAATAATTAGTTCATCAAGTAGTTATAGAAAGATTTCAATAATTTAAAAATATGTATGACATTTTTAAACTAGATTTCGTAACTTATCAAATCTTTTTTTAAACTTCAATATGTATATAGAATTTCTTTAATTAGTTTTTAACATATTCGAAGATATGTGTGTGGTTTTCATTACGTAATTTTTCTTCTGGAGACATTTAAGAGATTTTTAAAAATGGCCTGAGAAACTTGATTTTTGCGGAAGGAAAATCATTAACGAGTTATTACTCAAAATTATACATAAAGAGTAATAAACAATGAAACATCTATTCTTTTAATTTTAAGAAGCAATAAAAATCTCTATTATGTATTATTTAAAGAAACGATAAAAAAATCGTATATTTATGTCTTTTTTACGAATAATAAAAAATGTAATTTAAATGTCCATAAATTTAAACATGGAAATTTAAATATGCATAAATGATTATGGTTTAGCAACTACTTCCTACCACAAAACGTTTACCAAAAAAATAATACACTTTTTATTTCAAAAATATCAACAACGACCATAATTTATTTTGGATTTATATATTTTTTTATTTTATTTTTTTCAAAAAAATAGGTTAAATTAACATGATAGCTCATTACAATTTCCCTGCATTTAGACGTTCAATTTATACATTATTTTCTATAAGAAATTTAGAAATGAACACATCGTTTTCGCAGAAATCTAACGAAATAATATGATTTAAATAGTATTGACGAGGGAAAATTCTTATGTTAAGAAGAGATAAAACGAGCAAAGTATATGGATCAAACGAAAGCTAAATGCGAGAGAATATTTTTAATGTTGACTTTAAATTTGAGAAAATTTAAAAACAATTCGTTACAAATTTAAATTCGTTGCAAAATGAAAACTAATTATAATTTTTTTGTCTTCTAAAAACTTGATCAAAGCAATATTTGTATTTAAAAGCATTTTTAACACTATAAAATGAGATATCTGACCTACCAGTTACACAAAAATCCTAATAAGACTTTTGGATTTAAATAACAATTCATATTCAATCTTCATCACTCACATAGAGATAAGGAAATGTTCAACTTATAACGATAGTAGAAGCAGCGTCAATATCTAAATAGCATTTTTAACACTATAAAATGACATATCCCACCTACCAGTTGCACAAAAATCCTAATAAAACATTTGGATTTAAATAACAATTCATATTCAATCTTCACCACTCACATAGAGATAAGGAAATGTTCAACTTATAACGATAGTAGAAACAGCGTCAATATCTAAATATCATGACACGCTTCTCAAAGAATCAGCTGAACATTTACATTTTGTCAAGGATAAGTTATTAAGAATTAATCTTAAATGCGTCAGCGAAATATTCCAATACTCCTGTTGCATTGTTTGTAAAACTTTTTACTTTCTTTCTCGCTGTATTTTTCAAATTGAAATAACATTTCAGTTTTTCAACAACAAAAAATTAAAGTGAATAGATTTTTCACAAAAAAACCAGCATTAAATACATTAAAGATCCAAAAAAACTAAATTCTTCATGCAGAAGAATGTTATAATAATTAACTTTCTGAAGTATATCTGGAATGAGAACAAAACAAATTTATGCTGTTTTCCTATTAAAGATATAGTGTTCATAAAATCTATATCAAGACAGCAATAAAGCAAAATCTATTTGAAAATAATAAATTTTACTTGAGATTGTAATATCTTTTGTGGCATTTACGTACCCTTACATTAGCCTTTATGTGTATCAGAAAAAACGTGACTTAATATGACTTTCTAACCTCTTGTCGAACATAATATTCAAACTTCTTTAGAAAATTTGTTTTAATGAGTTAGGAAAACGAAATAGTTCATTATTATTGCTCGATCGTTATTTCCTATAATTGCAAGTTTTGAAAAGAAATTTTTAATACGGCGTATGAATTTTATTACGTGAGCGTCGTGAAAAGACCCAATAGTTTATCTTATTATTTGTTATTGTCATTGTGTGCATATATGTCAGCATGGATATAGAAATAACATAAATAAATAACATAAAAAGATATTGCGTGTATTCATTTCTGGAAGAATATCTTTTAAAAAAAGTTTCGATAATACTAATTAATGTACTGAGTGCCAATCAAAAATGGACCATCCTGATTAACTTTTGATCTAATGATCGAATTTTCAAGATTTATGACTCAATCTTAATGGCTTGAAGAGGCGACTTCAAATATGCTAATTAGTTAGTGCACACGATATCTTATGTTACGAAATCTGACACAAAAGAGTACTTTCTCTGAATAAACATACTTTCTTTTCGACTGATTCAAGCTTTTGACCTCCCAAAATATAGGGGATAGCCGCAATCTGGGAAATGGGGCACAATAGTTAGGTCAGGAGAGTTCTCCAAATTTAGGACCCCTTAATGCTAATTTTACTTTTTGCACATTTCGCTATAAATCGAGAATTTCTTAAGTGAAAAAAATAATAGAAATTTCGAATAAATAATCGAAAAAAATAATAGAAATAAAACAAATTTCACACTCAAATATGAAATTCGTTTATCCAAAGATAATTTCGTGTAAAAAATAATTTTTAGTAAATACTTGATATTTTTTTTTAAATTAATAATGGTCAAACAATTTTTGAATTGTAAGGTATGCAATTTTTTGCATTATTTTAAGCAATATAATTTTACAGGAAACAATACAAAATTTGAGCTAAATAGATCGAATATTTCCTAAGGTATTGAATTTGAAAAATATGACTTTTTCAAAATTCGATTTATTAAGAACTATACGACTAATTTCGCTCAAATTTTGTATTGTGTCATGTAAAATTATATTTTTTAAAACGAAGCAAAAAATTGTATACTTTACGATTCAAAAATGTTTCGACTGTTCTTAAATAAAATAGTTATAAATATTTATAAAAGGTTATTTTTTTGCATGGAATGGCCATTTGGAATTTGCCAATATGGAATTTGCCAATTCGCTTAAAAAGGTCTCCAGATATAGTGAAATATGCACACAAAAAAATTTACATTAAGGTGTCCAGACTTTGCAGCCTTCTCTTGACCAAACTATTGGAACCATATTTTTCAAATTGCTGCTACCCCCTACATTTTGGGAGTCAGAAATCGGAATCTGTCGAAAAAAAGGTATGTTAATTCAGAGAAAGTACGTTTTTGTGTCTGATTTCATAACTTAGAATATCGTCTGCATTTATTAATTACTTTTAATGGTAAAAAAATTCATGTATATAAATTTATACATGAGGTTAGAGAAAAGTTTTTACCCTATTGAAACTAACCTAATTAAAATAAATTAAAACAGGCACATTTTTTTAAAAAATAAAATCCTATTTTAAAAAAAAAACATTAGAGAATTGCTAATAGCAAACCGAACTGATTTTATCAATTGTTTTAAATCCAAATTTGATTTGGTGAGAAATGTAACTAGTTAAAACAAACTATGCAACAGAAGTCGTAAAAAACAGTCATAACGAACATAACAAAACAGTCCCTACAATAAAAGTTATAGTCATAAAAACTAATGTTTTAATAATTCTAATAGTTCAAAAATAATGTTTTAATAATTAACGCATTGATTTAAAAAGCCTACTTTTATAAGCATTTTTAACAAGTTTTCTTAGTAAAAATTAATTTTCTTTTTGGTTTAACTCTTTATTTTGGATTTTGTAATAAAATGTGCTTAAAGTTGATTCATGCTTTATTGTATTCACTTTTGTATTGTTTTACAAATTGGCAAACGCAAAAGTTCTCTTCCGAAAAGGTAAAAAAAAAA